GCGCGAGATGGGGGGCCGCTATGGCGGTGTGAGCGGCATCGGGGGACGCGAGGGACTCGGGTGCGTCGCCTCGCCGCCTCCAGATGAGGAGAACCATAGCCGGAGCGTTAGAAGCTAGGTAGGCTCTAGGTTAGGAAGCTCAAGACGCCTAGCATCGTGATGCGCTTCCTACATTGATGCTGGTTTTCTCAAGGAAGTACTTGGCGTACAATCTTCTCTGGTGGTCCAATTGCAGCTCGTCCTCAAATTTTCTTGCTTGAAGCTGTATAGACATGATGTTGGAGTACAGGTGTTTACGTTCATCCACCCTTGCATCCTTCTTCACCATCAAATATATCGGTTCGATGTAACCATCCATTAAGGCCATACACACCTCTTTCTTGTTCGACGCGTCAGCTATCTCTAAGCGTTCTATTTTGTTCATAAACGCTTGGTGGTACTCGCTGATAGTGCACTTGGCTAAGTCCGGTACACAGTAGGGCTGTGTCACTTCCTTTAGCTCTTCATACTTATCCTGCTGGTCAAATATCGAATCCTTCTCTGCTGCTCGTTCCACGTCCATTAGGTACGCTTTTTGAAACAAGGCATGCACGATATCCTCGTAATCCTGTATTGAGATCAAGCGGTCTTAGAACCGCACCTATCTCTGATCTAAGTGTGGGTGCTAAGACTCCTGCTTCTGTATCTGGTTCTTGGAAACCTGGCCTGTCGAACCCCCACTCAGCGGTTAGCGCTGACTGAGTGGACTCTGAGGACTCCAGTTTCCGGCAGGTGGGACCAAAATATGGAGGTAATTTACCCTCAGCCTGACTCTTGACTAGGGTATGGTAATAATTAGTTAGTAGACTCCCTACTCAAGTAGGCAGCCTAATCTGCGATCGGGCTCTCTGTCCTCAATCGCTGGAGTTGAGTGAGTAGGAAAGAAAAAGGGGCAACGTCATGGAAATCTAGATATGTATCCTCCGTCGCTCGCTATATCCGTCCCAAAATCAGACTCTAGTACAAGCGCACTGCACTGCCAACCTCAAGCTAAGTCAGATAAGATACCTCAGTCTAGTCTCCCGCCACAATACGGGGGATGCGTAGCGATGACGCTGGGGGATTTGGGTCATCTGCTCCCCCGCCACATGTGGGCGTATGGAGTGGGGCACCCCGATGGGAGCTCGCTTGGGGAAGATGAATCCCGCAGGAGCCGAGAGTCGGAGGCCGTAGACGCAGCGGCGGCGGTCGGACTCGGAGGCGTACGGGCACCACCGGCTACGGCTGCGAATGAGCCGTCGTTGAACAAACTCATCTATGAAGCAATGCTGCAGTAATCCGCAGCTAAGAGACGGTCTCTCGTGCGAGCATTTTCAGCGGCCGATGATGGAATCTCCACCTTAGAGGGCCCCGCGCTCCTCGAATATGCAGCGACGTGCAACGATCCCAGTGGCTTTGAGGTCCGCAAACATGTGGGTGAGGCACATGAAAAGACGCGACATCCGGACGATTGCGAGGCGACGCAAACGAGCAGCCCCAGGGGGTGGAATGGGGCGGGGCAGCTTCCCCCGACCCGATTTTCGGTCGCCTTCGAGTCACAGAGCGTCGGGAATCGTTCGTCATGAGGGCGATCTGATGCCCTCGCGGCAGCTCTTCGGCTCGAGCCGATTTGATCGAGACCACCTCACCGGCTCCGGGAGGCGTGCGGCGCCGCGGGTGACACGGTGCTCACCGTGCAATGCATGAGGCGTTCGGTGCGCTAGGACCGAGACAGTGCCCTCGGGAACATCATTCCAGGGGGTGTCTCTTCGAAGTCTAGCGCACGACTCGGACCTCAACACTAATGCGAGCTCCTCGTCGGTCGCCCCCCACCATTAACGGCCGTTCTCGACATCCACGGGCTGCCCCGACGCGAACTAAGTTGCTCGCCTTCGACCGATGGTCTTTCCCGAGCGACTCGCAGCCGGGCCCGAGGCGCGACATGGTCCACAGATCGAGCGCCGCGCCAAGACATGGAACCGCTGCATCGCGCGTCCGAGCCCGGAGCGAGGCAAAGCCGTGACGTCAAAACTGCACGGCTTCGCTGCTCTTTGAACCGGTTAACTTTAGCTTAGCCCGCAGTGGGACGGGCCGGCCGCCCCGGCCTCTAGCTCTACGCGCGCGCGCGCAGTAGAGGTGTCAGGAGGCGTGCGTGCGGCGTCGATACGTCGCCCGCCTTAATATGCGGCGCGCCTTAATCTGCGGTTCATTACTCGTGCTCGCGGTCGCATCGAGCTTCGCGCCGCTCCGGCCGCTCGCGCCGCTCCGGCCGCGTTCGGCCGGCGGCCGGCCGCGCGCCTCGGGCGACGGCGCCGAGGTCGTCGAGGTCGAGCTGGCGCGGCCGTTGGGCGTCACGGTCCAGGAGGTGCGCGGCGCCGTCGTCGTCCAGTCCTGCGCGCCGCGCGCCGCCGCCGCCGGCGTCGCGCCCGGCGACGAGATCGTCGGCGTCAGCGCCGTCTTCGGCGACAAGGTCTGGGACACGCGCGGCGCCCGCGCCCGGCGGCGGCGGCCGACGCCGCCGCGGGATCGCGCGCGCGCGCAGGCGCGCCGCGGGCCTCGACCGCGTCGAGGCGCTCATCCGGAACCGCGAGGGCGACGCCGTCACGCTGCGCCTGTCGCGCG